AAAGGACATTTTTGGAACTAATTAGTTTAGCATTAAAAATCTTTATTTTAGTCTTGATACTGGCCTTGGTTTTTCTACCTGAATATTCATGGAATGCAGAGCTTAAGATCCCAAATTAATGTACATTTTAGCAGCCAAAGTAGATAATATTCTAGGCTTACATTCTTCTCCATCTTACTTAAATTTTGATCTGCTTTTGGTTACATAGGCTCTTTTGCTTTTGATCTTAAAAACTCTTTTTTGGCCTTTTTCCTCCTAATATTAGATTTAGATATTAATGACTCTGGCCTCTCTTTGTGTAGTTTTCTTTCTGACCTCAGCATCTACTCAGTATGTACGAATACATGTGACTTACACAAATAAAGAGGAAAGTGAAATTCTACACTAACTACTAGGAATGTGTTAGGAAAGATTGTATTTTCTCTCCACCTTAGCCTCTGGCCTGCATAGCCTTTCCAGCAGAGACTTGTCTGAGGTAGTGTGGTAAGGAGTAAATCAAGCCTGGGAATATGACACAGTTAAATATGGACAGACAGGTGAAAGTGAGTACATGTTATATTCAAAATTCTCACCATCCTCAATCCAAGCTAGGAAACTTCTGGCACAGTTTCAGATCAGAGATTGAAACACTGTGGTGCAGATACAGATTATATTAATGCTGTGTTGGCCCTGGAGAATTCAAGTGGCCACTTATCTCCTGTCACGACATTACTAAATGTATATCTAGTATCTAGTATGCACACACATATACATGTGTGTGTACCCACCAATAACTGTCTTTCATCTGTCCTATAAAGGCTATCTGAAAGTACCTGACTGTAGTGGTTTCTTCAGGCATTTGTGACTTATGATTCCTTTGATTTTGTATGTGATGGTCCTGAGGCTTGAACTCAGGTCTTGGCAACTCTCCCTGAGATTTGCTCAAGGATAGTGCTCTACCACTTAACTCAGAGTTCCATTTGTAGCTTTAATAGTGATAAATTGGAGGTTCAAGTCTCATACCCGGACAGGCTTCAAACCTCCATCCTCAGATCTCAGCCTCCTGAGTAGCTATTTGTACTCAGAATTGTAGTTGATTATTTTGTAGTTCTCTTTGGAATCCAAGGCTATTCAAATTGAATACTTATCACTATTTTAAAATTAGTACATAGGACAATAGAATATGACACGTCTTAAACAGGACACATAGGTCCATTTACATAAAATAGAAATATATACTATTAAACTATTTACTAAACAGCTATTTCACCATGACAAATACCTTAGAAATTTTCATATACTTTACAAAAGTTTCAAAATTTCATGATGTTCAAATGATTATTTCTGGACAATAAATATAAGCAAATTTTTATCATAGCTGTCTAAATTTTAGCAATTTTTTTGAATTTTGAAACAATCTGAATTATTGATCTAGGGCATCCTTATTTTCAATTTATCTGTTCCTTGGATTCATTTAAATTTTTAAAATTTATTATATAAAATTATGGATATTATTATGGCAGTTCCATATAGCACATCTTATTTACTCCCCTTATCAAGGAAATAAGCATGGATTTTATTCCCTTAGGAATTAGGAAGTTTGTAGTACTAGGGAAAAAAGACTATCCAAGATAGTCTTCTTAGATGATAGTTCTTATAATGCCACATGAAGTCAGGTTAAAGTATGTGTACCTCAGACTATTTTGTCTATGGTCCGATATTTCTAAGTGAAATACAGTAGTTGATAAATAAGACATATGAAACTAATGGATTACAGTGACAACATTTTATCTAATGCTCAAACTTAAAATCAGTTGAGTTTATATAGGCACATATATAATTCATCTTCTCCTTTATCTTGCTCTGTCATATATATATATATATATATGTATATATGTATATAAGTGTGTGTATGTTTATTACAGTTCTCTCAATAAAATTTCTCAGTTTCTTTTACTTCACTTGTATAATTTAATGGTTTAAAGACACAATCTCTAGCATGTCTATGAATTAGGACACACTAGATTAGAGTTTTATAATCTGGAGTAGTATGTGCTTACTTCTTAAATTTATTGAGTAGGTCTCTGTAGGTTTCTGTAACAGTTGGCTGAGCTACCATAACTGGGGTCTATTCAGACTTCAGACACTGCTAGTCCTCCAACACCTGCCACTCATACTGTACCCTTCACATTGACCTTCAACAGAGCCTTCTGTCTGATTCTAGTCCATTACTGACTCCAAGAGGCAAACAAGGAACAGGGGTGTGAACATATTGATAGGTGAAATATTTTATGGTTTAATATAAAGAAATAAGATGGGTGATAACAAATGTTCATGTATGTAGGGTGACTCAATAGTTAAAGAAATGTTAACTTAGATAGTAGCCACTGGAAAACAATTTCAATGTGAATGTAGAAAGTATCATATTTCTGAAAATATAAAAAATGAAGTTATTAATACTTTTCCATTATGTCACATATTAAGAAGTCTGGGACAGGATGCAGAGCAGTGGGAGAGGGGAGGAGGAATTACCTAGTATCATTTTGAATATACAGACACACATTTAAAATAAGAAGTTGAGCCTGAATGGAACAAATATGGATCATGTATGTTAAGCTTAAATGACCTATATCTGAAGAAACTACTAAAAATAAAATATATCTTACTACAAACTGGAAATTTTTCTGGTGGCCTACCTGTTTTCTAGGGCATTTCTTTATATGAGTTGTCAAAAGATTAAGGAATATATGATTTAATAGCTTCTGATAAGCTCCCTTATGATGAGGAACAGGCTTAAATAACAAATACATAAAAAGGAAGCCAAATTTTAGCATTTGTATGCAAATGAATATATTCCTTGAGGAAAATTACTATAAATAAACAGTAAATTGATGTTTTAAAAAGAATTTTCAGGGTCAATACTGACACAAAATGCTGGGAAGGTAAAGTATAAAACAGCTAGTTAAAAGACCCATATTTTGATCATTACAAGTACCAAAACACCACCTTGTGTTTATATAGCACCTATTTCTTACTAGGTTAGAAAATAACCACACAAGCATACACATAATTTTATGGTTATATTTATGTTTTTTCTTACTTTTTATCTTTATCAATATTTGATACAGTGTAGGAGGAAGATGCTGATTTGTTTTATATTTCACTAATTTGAGAATAGGTTGAGAAATATAGGTAGCTTGAAAAAATGTCCAACATATTTATTATGTTGGCTTGGAAAGGCCTTATTTTCTCCAACATTGGTTATTATAGTGGATGTTTTTATTTATTTCCCCTCTGTGAATTTTTTTCCCTTTAAGTCATCTGTCCTCTACCTCGTGTTCTCTCTTTTTCTTCTCTTCCTTCTCCTCCAAACTACCTACAAGGTAGAGAAGAAAAGTAACTTCAATGTCTTCATTGGATTTTCTTCTGGACAAATAATATTCCTGAATATCACCAAGTACAAAATTAGCCTCTCGAATTAACTAATTCTGCTTTTGAAATTCTTTATAGAAAGTATTACCCATATAAACCTCACAAATTGAAACCCTTACTTCTATTTGCACAAAGAACAGGTCACTAAATCAATTTCTCAATGCTTTGAGATATATTTACCCAACATACTAACCAAAGCATTTCTTGCTCTGTGAATAAGATTTGTATCTTTAAATGGTCATTTCATTGGACAGAGTAGTGCAATTAGTTCAGTTTAGTTCATTAAATCAGTTTTTCTAAGAGTCTGAAGAAATGTCATGTGTTCTCCAAAGTTCCATTTGATCAGCAGCATAGTCCTCTCCCTACTATTTTTTGTATGTTGCCACTAATTATCCATCTGTATTTACCACTTATATTTACAAATTAAACTTAAATATTGGCTTATACACGGGAAACAATGAAAATTAATAGAAAAAGTGAGTAAGTTTTCTTTCATGGTTTGTCAATTTTGAAGTTATATTTAACTTTGATTTTGATCCTTAGAAAGCAAGTAGATTCATACTTTATTGAATCTGAGTTTTGGGGTGATTTATCCTGAAACAATACTATGGCCTGATAAAAGATTTTTTAAACTTCATCAAATATTGATTTTTAATTTTGATTAAAGAAAGTTCAATTTGACATACTTTGTCACTATGCTTTAAAATGTATAGAGAAGGAATTACAGGTCTGGGAAGGTGGCTCAGTGGTAGAGTGCTTGTCTTGCATGCATGAGGCCCTGAGTTCAATTCCTCAGCACCTCATAAGCAGAAAAAGCCAGAAGTGGCGTTGTGGCTCAAGTTGTAGAGTGCATGTGTTGAGCTGAAGAGCTGAAGGACAATGCCCAGACCCAGAGTTCAGGCCCCACAACTGACAAAAAGAGTGTGGGGGGAAGGAATTATAATGCAGATTATTATCAAAGTGTAAAAGGCATCAGGTAATAGCATCTGCCTGTTAATTTCAGTATGTGAGCACTTGTGTACATAACACAATTTAGTATGAGAAAAATCTTCATTTTTATTTATTTATAACCATTTGTGACTTTTCAAAAGTCCTTAGCAAATAAATGATTGCATTGTACTTTTCAATACATGGATAAATCTCTTCTTAAATGATATTTAGCCTTTTTCACCTTAATAAATTCCATAAGAATTGCCCACTTATTTGCTTCATGGAGAAAGAAAATCTTGACAACTGGTGAGTTGGTGAGTTATCATGCTGTGATTTATGTCAAACAATGGCACATGTACGTTCAGTTCCACAGTTGGCGCTAACAGCCATTGTTGGAGCAGGCATTTCTCCAAAGCTCACGAGTAAGGGAATGGTAATTATAGCAAATTGTATATTATAAATAATGCATGTATGTTCTGTATGAGCTATGTGGGATTTCAGCCCATTTGCTAGAACATAGCTGCATAATGATTTGTTTGGATTTTGTTACAGATGATTGATAGTGCAGAATGTTGGCAATGATGTAAATTACTATTGGGCTGCCTTGAAAATCTTAGTACAAGTGGTGATTTCTTCTCTTTTTCTGTGTGCTTGTCTAGTCTCGGCAGACACCTGAGGGTGAATTCCTTCCCCTTGACCAACTTGAACTGGATGTAGGTTTTAGTACAGGGGCAGATCAACTTTTTCTTGTGTCCCCCCTCACAATTTGCCACGTGATCGATGCCAAAAGCCCCTTTTATGACCTATCCCAGCGAAGCATGCAAACTGAACAGTTCGAGATTGTCGTCATCCTAGAAGGCATTGTGGAAACTACTGGTGAGTAAACTATAGCTATGACATCATGTTTTCTTATTCCATAATGATATTATTGTATGTACAGTATCTGTACAGATTGGGATAAATTGCTGAGAGTTCTCAAGAATGAAGTAATGACTTGTCTCATATCTTTGTAACATTAGTTTGATACTGCTTTGAAAATTAAGATTTACTCTGTTGGTGGCTACCTATCAGATATTAACCACAGAAATTCTCACTGGAAGGAAAGAAACTGACATGATGCTTTGGAAATTACTATGATGTTCTATTTTATTATAAAGTTGCATTTCCTATCATCATAATTTTTCTTAAAAAAATTTAAATCAGGCTAACAGTCTGAATTCAATGTATATATTCTTGCCTTGAGGATGTTGATTTCGGGTTTCTTGATATAGCTTTGGTATTCCTATGTGCAATCGGAATGGAAAATTGCCTGTGTGTATGCACATGTTTGTGTTTGCACAAAAGCAACATTTTAATTTTAATTTCAAAACAGGTCACTAGACTTCTCCAGCTGAACTCTGACTATACTTTTGAATTAAAAAGGATTTTTTTTCTCCTTCTGCATCAGTTTAAATATGTGCTGTATGTTATTCCTTAAGATTTTTGTTCCACTGGAATGTTCTAAATCCTTAAAGTTTGCTGCTCTCTGAAAATTTGGTTGGCAAAAAAGTAAATTTGAGCATATTATTTATGCTTGAAACAATGCCTCATTAGTCTGGAAGCTACTGGATTAATAGAACAAAATATAGTCTCATAATTATACATGCAAATGAATGTATATCTTGAATTTTACATGTTATCCAGGTAATAAATAACAAGGCATATTGTCACTCTTAATTTTTCTTCAAACATCATGATAATCATAGTGTTATGTATAAAGTATACAAATACTGCAACACTACTCACAATTAATATTCAAGTTTTATACTAATTTGTAAGATCTTTGTTTACATAAGTCATTTTTGGACAAGGAGCAGTGAAACTACTATAGTTTTCTCGTCTATCACATAATGTATCTCTGAAATTTAGAATCTCTCTTTTAAAGGACAAATAATAAACAAGTACCTTGAATCTACATTTTACTATAATGTTTATTAGTCTGCAGTTTAAAATGAAGACTCTGAACCTTTTTTGAGGATTTATTAAAATTTTAATATATGTGAAGTTTGGTTTGGTGCACTGTTTTAAGATTGTAAGCCTTATTCAATTTTTCATTAGCATTTAAGTGATACGAATATTATATGAGACATTTTAGACTGTAAACAAACTGATTTTTGAATTTCTTCATCTAAGCAAACTTATATTTCAATATCATTTTTTACATCTCATTTCTTAGTGTTACATTGTGTGTGTGTATGTGTGTGTGTGTGTGTGTACGCATGTGTGCATGTGTGTGCACGCACAAGTCTTAGGCTTGAACTCAGAGCTTGAGCACTGTCTCTGAACTTATGAGCCACAGCTCCACTTCCAGCTTTTCCGTGGTTAATTGGAGATAATAACTTCATTAATTTTCCAGCCTGGCTGGCTTTAAATTACCATCCTTAAATCTCAGCTTTCTAAGTAACTTGGATTGCATTGTGAGAGATACCAGTACGTGGTCAGACAGTTATTATTATTTTTTGTTGATTTATTTCATACAGTTATATAACTATGTGCTTATAACCTACCATAAAATTATTATTCAAATCACTATTAAGAAAGGGCTTTTGTGTATGTGCCAGTACTGGGGCTTGAATTAAGGACCTGGGCTTTGTCCTGGAGCTGTTTGGTTGAAGGTTAGTGCTCTATCACTTGAACCACAGATTCATTTCTGGATTTTTTTCTGGTTAATTGCAGATAAAAATCTCATGGACTATACTGGACAAACTTGTTTTGAATGATCATTCTCAGATTTCAACCTTCTGAGTGGCTAGGTTTAAAGGCATGAGGCTTTAAGTGATATATATATATTTATATATATAATATATATCACTTATATATATCATATATATGTATGTGTGTGTAATTTATCATGATATATACATGTATAGAGACAGTTTTAAAGATATACTTACCTATCCATCCATTCTTTCCCTGATTTTTATAAGTACCATGTATATTTCTTGAAAGTGAAAGCATTTTCCTACAAACTCACATTTCAAAGGTAAAATAACTCCCCAAATGTGCTTTGTGTTTCTTGACAATGGTGTCCTTGAAGACTTTAGACTAAGGTCTTTACCAAATGTTTCTGCTTAGGTATGTATGAGGTTATCTTATTTATTAAATATTTTGGCTTCAACATGAGTATCTCAGGGGAATATTAAAGCAGGTTGTTCCCTTCCTTCCTTCCTTCCTTCCTTCCTTCCTTCCTTCCTTCCTTCCTTCCTTCCTTCCTTTCTTTTTTCTCTCTTCTTTTTCTTTCTTTCTGTTTTCTTTCTTCCTCTTTCTTTCTTTCTTTCTTTTTTCCTGTCCTTCATTCATTCCTTCCTTCTTTCATTCCTTTCTTTCTTTCCTTCAGGATAGCCAACAATGGTATATTATGTAGATTCAAGAGGAATTTTGCAACATCATTTATTCTTTAGGAATATTGGTTTTAACATTTCCTCCTTTGTGCTTGAAAAAAAATTGTCAATGAACTTGCAAAGAATGCTTTCCACAAGAAATATGAAGACTTGGCTAATAATTCATTTCTTATTTAGAAATTATCTTTTATGAAGAAGAGAATTAATAAGCCTACTTCCTCTTAACCCCTAAATTACATGTGTTTTCTAGGTCTAATACAGCAGAAATATTGCTTACATGAAGAAAATTTATCAGACATTTTGTTTCAATATATGTTCTAATGGACACTGTTGAAACTAAAACCTGCAGCTCTACTCTACCAAACCTGTTTAAAATAACATGTTTTATATCCATTTTGCCATTAATTCTCTTGAATTAATCTAGATTCATCTTTAAGGATACTTCCTTCCTTATCTCTCCAGTCACAATAATTTTCTTGTCTCATTATAGATTATAATATTATCATTAATATTAGACAGGATTTGTTGCTATTAAGACATCAAGATTTTCCAGTTTTTCTACTCAAGTTCCATAGTACTAAATCTTCCCAATACTTTTTTTTTTACTCAGAACAACTTCCTATCACATTTAGCAATAAAGTACCATGTTTTTATTTCCAGTAGAGAAGTAATTACTGAATTTATGCTGTGTGCTTAAAAGTATTGGAGTTGCTATAACATGATGACCTAAGTGGACAGATTCCCTTTCCTCCCTGGGTTCTATTCTAATTAGAGAAGGAAGATGACAAACCATAAATAGACATACAAAATATTATTAGGTTCTAATATGTTGAAATAAAAAATAATATGACCATGGGATAGAAAGTGCACAGAGATTGCTTCAGGTAAGGGAAGTCACTCTGAAATTAAACTGAGCCTCACCTATCCAGAGGGAAAGCTTGGGCTTGTAGAGGGGCAGTGTGGCACACACTGCAAATCAGCTGATACAAGGGCCCTGACTTGGGAATGGGTTTGACTTATTCTAGGCACCAAGAAATGGCAGAGGTGTTTAAAGGAGACTGTGAATGGTGTTCAGTGTGTGAGGATGGGGGGAAGTGTTGGGATTTCATCATAAAGCCAAGTAATTATTTAGTAATAACAAATTGTACATATCAGAAGGCCCACTTTTCTTCTAGTAGGTGGCATTACTTTTTTTGTTGTTGTTATTGTTGAAGTTAATAGCTGCTGACTTGGAAATGTGTACAATTCTCTGGAGTTACCACTTTCATGTTTCATGTGACCAATCCCTGCTCTCTCTCCACCCACTTGGACAGAAGTATGATGTCACTGAAATTCACTGGTCACAATCTTTAATTTTTTTTTTTTTTGCTACTTCTCAATCCTGAGGTCTCAGCAGGGAATAATGTAGTGGGGGAAGGAGGTGAGAAATTAGAAATTTGCTAATTTTCATGAAAATTTCAGCTTTCATCCCAAGATTCACCTATATTAATGTTCATTTTCTTGGAAATGTTTTACAATGATCAGACTCGGGGCTTTTTGCCCTTTGTGATGTAAACAAGACAGACTTTCCATGCCCAAGATCTGCTTCTTATTCACCAGGAATCAGCAAATTCCTAATGTAGCCTACCTGTACCTCTTGTTCTCTTTTCCTTTCCTCCCAGGAGAGAGCCCTGCTGGAGGCAAGCAAAGCATGGCAGATTTGGCTCATTAGAACTGATGCTTTCAAACTTCAATCTGGTTTCTGATGCTATTTGGCAGTCTTTTTAATTGTCTTTTCTGTATTCTAAAGCTTACTCCCCATGGGATCTATTTTAGACCTTCTCTCTTTCCATGTCCCCATTCCCAGATGTCCTTTCCCTTTCTTGGCTTATCATCTCTTCACCTAATCTATTAAAAACAATGACACTTCAATTTCTTGTGCATCTATCTACTCTACTTATTTTTCTGCATAGTTATATTATCTCTTTCCTGTTATTGTTGGGGAAAGTGACTATTCTTACCCTCCCATTGTCTCTTACAGAGACAGTCATGTTTGTTAAACATTTCTTCCCATTACCTACAACTTAAAGTTCTTCTCATGATATCTTCTAAAGTCCTATTAACTCTACTTGTGTAAAATGTTTTCAGAGTTTTTTCCCCCCTATAGAAAACATTTCATTAATTGCTCTTTTACATTTTGAAGGCTTTGTTTCCATGGGATTGAGATATAACATTTTCTCCCAACTTTTCTCTGTATTTTCCAGTTGTTTCTTATATTCTCTGTCATAGTCCCTTAGCCTTCCTCTGTCTACAGCTTCTCCCTAACTTTCTGCCGTTGCCATCATTCTTATCTGGTTCAGATGCTTGCTATTTTGGCAAATTCACAAGATATTGGGTAAGAAATCTCCCATCATTTTGTTCTTGCATTTCCTATATGAATTTCAGATCACTTCCCCACAATTCAATTTTCCTTAGTCCAAATACGAGGTCATCACCTTACATCCTCTCTTGGAAAGT